TGACCTCACTGACGCAAGACGTCCAAATGAGGCAGGCAAAACCGAGAAATTCGTTTTCGTCATCGGCCAAAGAGGAATAAGAACAGGTTGTCGTGACCCTGTCGTCAGGTATGCTATGTTATCGTCAATCAGAAGTGTTGGAATTTGTGAAGCGAAGCTAACCACAAACCATCCTGAGTACAGGAGTAGTGTTCTTCCACTTTGACACCACCAATTATCGAACCTTATTATATAATTATTGGAGTTAGCACCCATCTTTATCCGATCGTATGTTTATTAATATATATATATATATATATATATATATATATATATATCAGGCATGGTTATCAATAACATTTCGAGACTGTACTGTTCATAACATACTAGTGTTGGTTAAAAACACATTTACCTGACCATATTCACTCAAACTTAGCTTTTCTCTCGCAGTTCTTCCAAACACGTTGGAGTTGTGCTCCGTAGACACCAATGAAAGACAACTGACAGGGGCGGTTGTGGCATCAACCCAGATGAAACTGCAGCATATGCGGATTTGATCGACTTGAAATCTCTTCCAACAGATTCAGAAAGCAAAATGCAAAAAATTGTGGTCCACGCCGAAGCAACCACATTCTACACTTTATATGATCAATGGAAAACTTACGTTTGTCTCATGATAGCTGTTTAGGTTACTATCAGTAATGTTGTTCAGACGGAGCTCACAGAACCCGCCAAGCCGAGCACGGATCGACGTCACACAACAAGCAAGCTCACGACATCCAAGGCGAGTCCATTCCGGATTGGATGACTAGGACAAATCAGACAGCTGTCGTCTGATCGACCAATCGGGATATCAAGGACGCGATCTGATTAATGTGTCACCAAGTCTTTCTCGTACGCATCGTGATAGAATACACACTGACCGTTGTTCTCTCTCCTGTATTATCGTTAAGGGCTAAGGAAGGGTCGCTCGTGTCAATAGAAGGTCAGGCAGATTATGCCAAGTATTTCATGCAGGAGGAATTCGAATTTATCTGGGTCTAAGTGTGACTTTTAAATAGGTCAGAATCCCTAGGGTACAGCTAGTGCAAACGGCCTACCTTTGGCACCGAAATATTTCTACTGATTCCATTGCTACCATAATCAGACTGCTTTTAGTTCCCACAGCTACTAACCTTGCACTATCGGGGGAGCGATATTGATTGTCGTCTTTCGATTACCAACCATCTTGGTCGACCAAATAGTTTGAAAGTTAGAAACCATATCAGTGGAGAAGCAGAGAACAAACAAAATAGATCTGCAAAGAAAATGAGACGTTAAAGCGCCAGTATTTACGACACTCAGTACCCTGAACAGTTGCTTAAGTTCATCACGAGGTTTGCAACCAGGAAATCTGACTAGACCACAGCATAATTATGATACAGTGCAATACAGTGAAGCGAACTTCGCTGATATTTTCTAAGTTTCTAGTGCATGCTAGCGGATAATATGAGATGTATACAAAGTGGACTCGGACGCGTTCTTCAAGACGCAGCTGAAGATTGCTGAATCGCAGACCGCTTTCATAAAAGAGAAAAGAGAAAGTATAGTCCTACGGGGGAAATATCTGTTCAACAATCTGACGAACGGGGAAAATATAATCGATCAACCCTTGACCACGTCTACGATCAACCTGGTTCACACGCATGACAGACAATCGATTGAGTATAATTTCAGCGAGAAACTTTGGGTGAGGGGAATATTGATTAAGTATATTTCTCTATGGTTTTTACAAGGTCCTATCTCATTCATGGTGAATCGGAAAGATGACCAATCGACACTATTCATCTAGAGCTTGTTCATTTTCCTATAAAAACCCAGTGATTTACTCAACTCCCAAACCAAGGCTGATTAGACATAGTTAAAAGCCGATGGAGACAACCACTCACATTCAGACACGTCACACCTAAGATAACGTATCTGCTAAATGCTCTTCACTTCTGCCGAGGAATTGATGTCAAAATGGAGGAAGTAGGTTGAAGTGAGCCTCAAGCATTTGTTCCTAACGGTGCTATTGTTTGTGAATCAGTATAAAGTCGGACTCTTTAATTCCCTCGCTTAAGCCTAGTTTCGGTGGACATGCACCACCAATGTCAACACCCATAAACTCCTTCGTTTTCTTACATTTTGCTACCCACTACTTTACCAGTCATTCCGCAGATTCTTGATGAGATGGCTCTTAAGGGCGTTGTGTGCTGTATCAAATTAGGTATCCTGACGAATGGTTCTGCGAGTATCAAGAACAACAGAGGTTGACGAAATGTCTCTTTGGGTCCATTGGTTGTATCTGCATTCATTGTTTCTTTATGGCATGTCTGAATTACAGTTCTGATCAGTGCCCAATGTTTATTGAGTCTTCCGGTTATTACCGTAATTGAGAGGTATTGCGGCCACCACGTCTTGAAAGTCGATGTGCCGTCGTCCTTTATATTTTACTGTTGGTATCTGCTACCCTTCTTTGTCAGGCGCAGGTAGAACCTGGCTGGCAATATGGCATGGTTCATGTTTACAGGCGTTGACCAGCAAAAGTAGCAGTCTGGTATAAATCCTCGCCAGCTGCAGCCAACAGCAATGTGATCGATCTAAATCCACCGCTGAGAACAGTTAGGGGGTCTCCGTGCAAGACGAAGTTGTTTCTTGTGGGAGAAGTTGGTTTTTGGTAGGAAAAATGGATGGTATGTTCAAAGTTGAAGTCTCCAATTCCTGTTTCGCGCTCGGTTGGATAAGATTGCAAGTGGACCACCCAAGCGCCTTTCTAGACCGCCTAATGATCCAAATGGAGAGTTGAAATCGCCGGCAACAATAACAATGTTCGATGAACGAGCATTTTAGAGCAGTCGGTCGAGGTCACCTTTTATTTCTGGCGAACTGCACTCAGTCGGTGCGTACAGGGACAGGATGAATAAGCAGCGACGCTTGGTTATGTTGACGTTGACCAAAAGCATGTTAGGCCGCACAGCACTACTACTCACTTGAATCTAGATCATGATTAGCCATGAGTTTCATGTACCCAACGAGATAGGTGAATGAGAGAATGCCTTATTGGCTTCAGTGGACAGCAGCCGGCTGGTGAAATGCGAGGAGCACCCTCACCGTCGGTTACCTCATTCCTATATACATATTTACGATAGGAGCTTGTTCGCAGGCGAGTACTATGAGGTTGGTCAACAGTCTAGTCATGTGTCCGGAATAGGGGCTCCTCCTCCATCGAAATAGGTCTGATCCCTGTCCACCTTACATATTACTATTAACCTTGTACGCATTGTGAGTTTGACAACGATAAGTGAAGTTCGATTCAGTATATTTCGCTGTACGGTGACTAGGATGAACAGTCCAAAGTGTTTGCGTCACGCAAATCAGTTAAGGCCAGCGAAATGCTGGGCGGTGGTGGCCAAGTGGTTAGATCACCAAATTGTGACCCGGAAATTCCGGGTTCAAACCGTTCCACCGCCGCCCGTCTTACCTATTTCTATATTTCCCCAGGCAGCCTTTGTATGGCCGCAGCCCCCTTCCTGAAAGTTGATTGTACATTTGTATATTCAATAAATTGAAAAGGAAGTAAAAAGACTGATTGAATGCTGCGAAGAAGGAATTCAAAGCCAACATCTTTCCTTTGATATGTTATGAATCCTCAGTCTGCCTGAGGTCATCACAGCCAGGTGAAAGATGACAGAAAATTCCAAACTCGAAACCATCAAAGTGACGTACAAACAGCAAACGGACTCAAACCACGAAACTGCAAGTCAACCCCAAACTTCGGACGTACGACTCGAAAACGGAGGTGTCAGCGCGAGCCTACCCTTCCCCTTAGATTTATCGCGGTTTGAATTTGATATGGATTGGGATCAGCGGTCATCGTGAGAACGTGTCGGCGTTTTCTCAAGGATCCCGAATGCGTAGTCATCAGGGTAACGGACGGAGAATCACAACCTGGTCTGTGCAATCTCTTCACCTGTGCCCTCGTAACCCCAATTCCGGACAAATGACCAAATTAACATATACCGCACGTCTCTCCCTCTCTTATTTCACGTTTTGCTGGCACTACCAGTAAATGCTTGTAACTCTCTTGTAACTTAAATCGTTGGGATACTCGTCGTGGGACTAGGTTTGGTGATGGTTTTAGGGAAACACAACACGGTTCAGACTCTGCCATCGCCATTAACCTTTCTAGATATGCCGCTTTTCACTTCTACCGATCATCATAGGCGAAGTAATCGTACCTTAGATCGCAGTGTTCGTAGTTACTACTCTAGGTTAGATAAGACCAGATGGTCAGTGGATGACGTGGAGGCACGCATGAATAAATGAATAGTAAGATTAGCTTCAGCAGGTACCTACCATCTTCCAGATGGTAGTCCTAAAAAGACTCTATAGTTGGTTAGTTGGAGAGGCTGAGTGATACTGCTGCAAACCGACAGCAATGGAGCTCTTTTCGTCAGCTTGGAATGCTTGAAAAGTTGTATGTACGACAGATTGTGCAATCAGTATGTTGACTATAGTAGCTCAGCTTATTTTTCCTTCCCTCAAAACAGGCCTGTTCGCCTATCACTCTACACATCGCACGTATTGAGGTTGGCAGTGATCAGCGAAGTTCGCCTCACCGTATGATGATGATGATGATGATGGCAGAGTTGTGTGATTAAAAACATGCCAGTGCGTATTCAGTCTGATGAGCGATTGGTTTTGAAGGACAAGCTACCGATTCATCTTTGCGCGGGAACGAGAAAGTTAGCCAACTAAGTTGACGATGGAAGTAACAATATATTTGTAGTTTACACTACTATATTTGATTTAATCAATGAGCGCTGTGGAAAATTGAGTAAAAAAAGAGAACAATTCGGAAAAATCAATTAAAATCAATGAATGAAGCAAACAACGCGTTTTCTGAGAGAGAGAAGGGGTATTCGGGTTGAGAAGACTATTGAGAATTACGAGGGAAAAGTATAAAAAGCAAAAGTGAACAGAGCTCGATCGGATTAACCTTAACGCCAACTGAGCATGTACATAAACAGTGACTTTGGGATTCGGACAAAGCTCGGCACCATTGAAGCAAGCGAATAACCACCCATGTACAGTAGGGTTCTGAGAGAACGCATGTGAGCCGGGGGCTTGCCGTCAGTATCCATAATCCCATATTGGGTGGCCACATCTGACACGAGGATGACCTGACCCGATCGGGCAAGTTTGATCGCGTCCGGCTCTGCAGCCAGGTGGGCCACGACACGACCAGACAACTCGGGGGATTCAGCTGTTCAGATTAGAACGAGGAACATGGAATGAAAAATGATCGAGCATAGAGGGTGATGAAAGCCTCTCAAGGCAATTTAATATTCGTGAAGATGGAATCTGAATGAGGGTCAGTCCATATCAATATAACTTAACCCACACCACTACGCAATTAAATGTGAGTTGAATGCAAATTTTCTTTATTTATATCACCGGTTTACTCTTGTACAATGCAAAAATTAGGTTTTCTACAACACCCCAGCTGCGTTCTTACACGTGCTCATTTGCTATTACAAACTTAATTTCCGATGACTTCCTCGAATACTAGGACATGGCGATTACATAAGTGAATCAATGAAGAATCATGGGAATTTCGTACTAAGTGACATCCCTACTATCACTAGACCTTTTACTTCGAGAATACACTTGTAACCCGGGCATAGT